TCCTAGTAGCGATGCCAGGAGCCCCTAGTAGCTTCTTGATCCTAGTAATATCCGGAAGATTCGACTTTGTAAAAACTCGGTGAGCGGAAGTGGATTGCGTCTGGCTTCGTCTTTTGGTCATGCGTTCAGAGCTTTGTACACAAGCTGATCCTCTCTGCAGAAATGTGTTTGGGAGTCTCTGAGAGATAGCTCTTTCCATAAAAACTCTCCATTGGTTCCTAGCAAATTAGTGGATCATTCTCTATCTCCCACAAACATAATTGGTTCCTCATCCTTCCTACCAATCTTCATGCCTGCCAGGGCCTAATCAGCACTCGTTCGACAAATTCTCCCTCAGCTTTTCTTTCGGCTCGCTGCTTCTGTGTTCCAGATTGCCATGTCTCAAGGCTAGTGTCGCTATTCTCCCGGAGTCTCCTCTTCGTGCAAAAAAACCTGCTTCTTGTCTGGTGTGACGTTCACATCAACCATGCCCTAACACGACGACAGTGAGGAACTCAGCGCTTGGACTCAAGACTTTCATGCCTGTGGAGCTGTGAAGGACAAAATCACCAAAGGCCAAGCTCTGGAATTGTACTGATGGTAGGTGTCCTTAGAAAACGATGTGATCAGCCTACGTTCCAACGAGCAAAGACAGAAAAGCGAGATCGAAAGAACACATTCTTTGAGACGTTCTTTGAGTCGCTTCCTCTTATCAAAATCATCTGAGCTTCATTGATGAGTTTGGCGACCCGCTTCGGAGCATCGATTGGTCGGCCGTTCACAAAGAAAAGCTGTGCATCCCGAGAGCGGCGGCCGGCCACTGGAGAAGAGATCAAACCTGAAACGGAGCGCTCCGCTGTCGGAGTTTCCTTTCGAATCTGTTTGCGCTCCTTTCGCGGTTTTCTTTTCAAAAAGAGTGATGATCAGTTTAGAGTATCCTATGGGTGAAAGTCAAGCTTTGACCACATAGCTTGTGACGGTCTAAGACAACTTGATGATCGGGTGCACGCAAAGCCCCAGAATCTCTTGGACTGACTGGACAAAGACAATGACAAAAATTATTTGACAAGCATTGCAGCTCACATGCGCGCCTTCCACTTGCCAAGGGCCTGCACTGATGTTGAGTTTCTGCGTCTTGGAAAGGGCTGCATCGCCAAGAACGGCAGCAGCAGCCTGAAGCATCAAATTTTGATGCAGAACTCAGCTTTGGACAGTGGCCTGGTGCCAGTCAGAAGCAGTACCTGCGCATCGCGCATAATTCTCATGTGCCACTCAGCCACTCTTATGTTCAAACTACGCAAACACTGGTCAGTAACGTCCTTGCTCCTAGTAGCCATGCCCTTTGCTCCTAGTAGCCATGCCCTTTGTTCCTAGTAGCCATGCCCCTTGTTCCTAGTAGCCATCCCCTTTGCTCCTAGTAGCCCTGCCCTTTGTTCTTGATAGCCTCTTGTTCTTGGTAGCGATGCCCTTTGTTCCTAGTAGCTTGCTGTTCCTAGTAGCGATGCCCTTTCTTCCTAGTAGCGTCCTTGCTCCTAGTAGCGATGCCCTTTGCTCCTAGTAGCGATGCCCTTTGTTCCTAGTAGCGATGCCCTTTGCTCCTAGTAGCGATGCCCTTTGCTCC